AACATACACCCCGACAATCAAAGACCCTCCTGATCTATGTTGTGTATAGACAGCTTACTCATATGGACATCTCCTGAAGCCAAGTCCTTTTAGGCACTTGTCTAATCGAGCATTCCATGCCCTTGGTGCTTGGCGAAGCCCATACAATGCTTTGGACATTTTATAAACTTTATGCTCTTGATTTTCCTTCACAAAGCCTTCCGGTTGTTTGACATACACTTCCTCTTGAAGTTCACCATTTAAAAAAGCTGATTTGACATCAAGGTGATGGACATCCCATCCTTTCTTGGCTGAGAGTGCAAGGATCAATCTCACAGTTTCAATCCGGGCTACTGATGCAAAAACCTCCTCATAATCAACGCCTTGTTGTTGAATGTAGCCCTTTGCAACAAGACTTGCCTTGTGTTTGATAACATTTCCCTTCGAGTCCTTCTTCAGTTTGTAAACCCATTTTACTCCAATGGATTTATGACCAGGAGGAAGGTCAGTTAAGCTCCATGTTTTATTTTTCTCAATTGCCTCCAACTCTTGCTTCATTGCTTCCTTCCAAGGCGTTTCCTTTGCAGCTTCCTCAAAGGAAGTTGGTTCCTTCACACCAAGGAAGAACAATTCTGCATCTGCCACAGTTTCTTGAGTCTCAGCATATATCTCTTGAAGCGATCTGAATCTTCTTGGTGCTTCATCACTTGATGCGCTACCTGGATCACCAAAGGAAGATGTTGTTGCATTCGGGGGGGCTCATGGGGCTGCATTTCTGGTTCGTGAAGCATGCCGGTGGATTCCCTTTGAGGTGTGAAAGGCTCCTCATCAGATTCTACTCCATCAAGGTTTGATTGCTCAGCTCCCTCAATGATAAGTGGTGCTGAGAAATCTGGTTTTTCAGCACTAACTTGTTCCCATTGCCATTGTTTGTTTTCCTCGAAAACAACATCACGACAAACATACACTCTGCTTTCGTGTGGGTCCAGCAGTCTGCAAGCCTTACTCTCAGGCTCCACGCCTAAATACACAACTGATTTGCTCCGATCATCCAGCTTCTTCACCTGTGAGCTTAGAATTTTCATATGTGCCAAGCACCCAAACACTCTTAAGTGTCCTAGATGTGGTTTCTTTCGAGACCAGGCCTCGTATGGAGCAACATCAGCCAATGCCTTCGTTGGTACACGGTTTAGGAGGTAAACCGCATGCCGGACAGCCTCCTCCTATAGGTATACTGGCAGGTTCATGCTTTTCAACAAACTTCGGGTCATTTCTATAACAGTGCGGTTTCTTCGTTCCACGACCCCGTTTTGATGTGGGGTGTAAGGTGTTGTTGTGTGTTTCTGAATTCCAGCCTCTTCACAGTATCGTGTGAACTGATTTGAGAGGAATTCCCCCCCCCCCCCCCCCCCCCCCCGATCAGTTCTAAACACTTTTATTTTGCATTCAGTTTCTCTTTCAACAAGAGCTCGAAACTTCTTAAAGGCATCAAAGGCTTCATCTTTAGATTTCAACATATACACCCACATCGCACAACTATAATCATCAACCAAAAGGAGGAAATACATGTTTCCCACAGGAGTTGGTGGAGTTATTGGGCCGCAAAGATCACTGTGGACTAGCTGCAGAATTCTTTCAGCTCTGTGACTGGTTTGAGTGGGAAAAGAACTCCTGGTTTGTTTCCCAATCAAACACCAGCTGCATATCTGTGTCGGGTGCTCTATACTCGGCACACCACACACCATATTCTTCTTGGACATCAACTTCAGGGGATCAAAGTTTATATGCCCGAGGCGTGCATGCCAAAGCCAAGATGATTCTGTAAGCTTTGACAGCAAACAAACTGGCTCAGAACTCTCCAAAATGATTTTGTAAAGTCTGTTCGGTGACCTTTTCACTTTCATGAGCAACCTCCCTTGTTTATCATACACCCATAAAAATTCTCCGTGGAGTGTGACCTTGTTGCCAACCTCTGAAAGTTGACTGAGGCTTATAATGTTGCTACACAGATCAGGTATATAATATACCTCATCCAGTAGTCGTTGCACACCATTTTTACACTAAAGAAGAATACTTCCTCTACCAGCGATGTGCACCATTGATCCATTGCCAAATTTGACTTGGCCTTTTATGCTCTTGTCTAAATCCTTGAATTTTGATCTCTCGCCCGTCATGTGGTTATTTGCTCCGTTATCCAGGTACCACAAGTTAGACTCCTTTGTGGCTCCCTTGCTAGACCGCAATTTTGGGACCACCTTTTCGTTTAACAGTACCACGTTGCATGCCTCCTGCTTGCACATGGATAGGAGTGCAGGCTCATCATCTTGAATCTGGATTAGATTTGCTTCCCGGTTGTTCTCCCGTCGAGGCTTTTGACATTCTGACGCGTAGTGACCGTAGATATCACAATTAAAACATTTTATATTGCTTTTATCACGGTCACCACTTGAGTTCCGGTTGCTCTCTGCCTCCTGCTTAAAGGTATTGTTACAGCCCCAGCTTCCCCGACCGCCTCCTCGACCTCTGCCGCGTCCCCTTCCACGGCCACAGTTATTTCCACTGTTGTTACCCGCGAGCCTTAGGAGCTGTAGAAGACTCCCCACTGCTTCCCTTTTTTGACCTTGCCAGCCACTCCTCTTGAGTGAGCAAGAGCTGGTTACCCTCGATCTCTTCATGTCCATGAATCCTCTCTTCGTAGCACCTGAGCCGGCCAACAGCCTCTTCAACGGTCATGGTCTCCATGTCTCCAAATTACTCGATTGTGGAAGCAATCTGTAGATATTTTGTTGGGACAGTCCTGAGCAACTTCTTAACGACACACGCCTCCTCGAACTTGTCTCCCAAAGTCCGAATGTTGGTGGCGATTTTGTGTAGTTTGATAGCAAAATCATCAATGGACTCCGATTCCTTCATTCTGAGCATTTCAAACTCCGACTTGAAGGTCTGAATCCTTGCATTCTTTACGCGTTCTGCGCCCATGTATATCCTCTTGAGAGCATCCCATGCCTCCCTCGCGGTTTTCTTTTCTGCCAGTAACAACAACATCTCTTCTGGAATGCCCTGGTATATGGCTGCCATGGCCATCTTGTCCCTCCGATCCTCGACTTCTGCTTTTGGATCAGCTGGTTCAATGGCATCCCAAACTCCTTGGGCTTGCATGAACACTTTCATCTTTATAGCCATGGAGTGTAATTGTTTTTGGCAAGCATCGGGTACTGGAGACTGACTGCTCCTTCTTTGTTTTTAGAACCGTCCATGGTTGGATTCCGAGGCATGTATTTGGGCATTCACTTCACCAACGAGGCTTTGATACCCGGCTCAACATTCATGGAAAACAATCGAATCGAGGGTTTGGAGGAGAATTGGCCATTCAATCTTGTGAACTAATCGAGTGTGAACTAATAATTGGAAAAAGAGATACGAGCGGAGAGGAATAACCAATCAATGAAAGGTTCTACCCTCAACCTCCATCCGTCATTAGTCATCTCAATTCGCTTTTCCTATTCACTAGTACACTGCGCGCTACAACTAGCAGCCCCTTTACTAGTCAGGGAAAACGCTAGCTAGCTATAACTAGTTCACAGCCCAGGATTTCTGAAAAGTGCAGACAAGAGCAATAATCTTATTGAGGTAATAATGCAAACACTTTGAGAGAGAAAATAAAGCACAATCTGGAGCAAACTAACTGAAGTATATTGCCCTGTTTTAATGATCAGTAACTGCTCGTACATAACAAGACTGTTGCAGTATAAATAAGGATAACAAGAAAACAAACTAACAGAACACACACTACTCCACGATTCTAAATAATAGGAAAGCAAAACTAACCAACTATACAATAAAATTGGATCACGGGTTATGCCCATAATTTTAGGAATAGTTTGGACTAATTCCAAGAAATACATCACCATCTTCTTTAATTTCAAATATAGATAATAAGGACAACGATTAAAAGAAACCAGATTAAAAGTGAATTATAAGCCCAAAACAAAAAGAGATAGTAAGAAACTTCGTCATCACCATCCTCATCCAAACATGCTCATTTGGCTCACCCATTATCAACTAAGGCGAGATCCCCGGCCCACAAGTATTTGTCATACAAAGACTAGTAATGGAGATACATTCAAGTAGTAGGAGTAATACCAATGCCATGAATTAGGAGTAGCTAGAAGTGCATATTTCCCTAGATTAGCATCATCATAAACCCGTAATATGAAGGCTCGCCTCAAGCTCGTCTATTACATTGGATTCGGGGGAGGGCAGAGCCGCAGCCTCCATAAATGCAAAGGCGGCAAGCAATCGAGTAACTATCGATCTTGATGCCACACATTTCTTCATTCCCATTTCTGCTTCACAATCTAATTATTATGCACCTCTTCTTTACTTTGAAATTACATAATGATTTGCCACATACGAAGTATACCATGGATCACTGGCCCAAGAATCATTTTAAGTAAAGTCCATTAGCCCGTCTCAACATTTAATTAATAATTTTGTCAAACCAAAGTGAACACGGAAAATAGAAAGGAAGTACGGAGTAGTATTTTGTAGTAATCTAAGAATGAAGTTTTCAATAACTTAAATTTTAGGAACAAAAAAAGGCAAAACGTAAAAAGAGAGAAAGTAATGTATAACTACGTATGTCATGAGTGGCATAGAGAGTAGGCAGGTAGGCTCATCATAGTGAACAAGTTGTGCTCAAACATTGCTAGTGCTCAAACGTTGTAACATATAAAAATTATTAGGCCAATTGTGGTGATTATTGGTTTTTTAAATGATACTGGGTTATATCATTCTTATTGGGCCTCCTTTGAACGTTATTGAATCAATGTTGAATTCTACCGGGCCGCTCGTGATGGTCGTTAGGCCTTATCAAAAGCAAAATAGTGACATGGACCCCTTGAGAAGAAATTTAGGAGTAATTTGATGCACCCATAATAATTCTCTACTTACACCCAAACAATTCAATATTTGTTTTTGCTCCCTAAAGAAGTATGAGCAGTTAAGCAGATCCAAACACTCCCTTATACACATACTCTTACTTCTAAATTTTGCAATACTTTTTTCAATTTTATAATTTTATTTTTCACTTAACGTACGTCTTTTTCATAGAACAATACTTCGGTTCCTACTCTATGTACGTACCCAATTAAACCATCCGGTGGACACCAACCAGTCAATCAAACTTGCCGATAAACCTCAGATCACTTGTCCTTAAATATATGTTTCTCTAAATGACATAATGGAATGAAGAAATGTACTTCTGCCCAAGCTTCACTGCTCTAGTTCATCATCATCCGCCATCATAGATTTTTAGCCAGCCATCATGCATGCATCAAATCCAGCTCGACTGCAAAGCTTGTTACAGACTGCAGTTCTATCTGTTCAGTGGACTTACAGTCTTTTCTGGCAACTTTGCCCACAACAAGGGTTGGGATTTAATATGTTTCTTGATTTTCCTTCATTTCTTTATCATGATATATTGATTTGTTTGGGAATCAATCTTACTGATTTGCATGTGTATGTAGGATGTTGGTGTGGAGAGATGGGTACTATAACGGATCCATAAAGACGAGGAAAACCGTACAGGCCACGGAAGTTAGAGCCGAAGAGGCGTCGCTCCACAGAAGTCAGCAGATTAGGGAGCTTTATGACTCCCTTTCCACCAGCACCGCCACCGCTGAAGATGCAAATGGTGGTGGCGGAGGCCAGCAGCTAGCTGCAATGCGGCGTCCCCCTGCTGCGCTATCCCCTGAGGACTTAACTGAGTCCGAGTGGTTCTACCTCATGTGCATCTCCTTCTCTTTCCCACCTGGTGTTGGGTAAGTCAAACTTTGTGTTCTTTTAGTGTGAATAATGCTTAAATAATGTTATCACCCTCTCATTAAACTTGATGAAATTTGACTTTCACGTGGAATTAGAAAGTAAAAACTCTATGGTTAATATTTGTTCAGACGAGAGAGAAATATATTTTACCACATATTTATTACTTGAAATAAAAATTACACAGTTTTTTGGGACAGGGAGAGTATTATCTTTTAACAGGAAAATGCTTTTGAATGGTTTGTATTAATTCATAATTTAAAACTTAATAATTCTTTATCAGACTTGTAAACTGTTTACGGGTACTATAAACAATACAAAGATTAACATTGAAGACCAGGAAGGACAAAATGGTTGTTTTTCTGGAAAGAGAACTCATCACTGACTTCTAAAGAGAGAAGCTTTGATTACTTCTGTTCTTTTATTAGAACTAAGGGTGTCCTGTTTTTAGGATAAGAAAAATGCTCCTATTTATATATTCACTTTACACATATTTTACTACTGTTTGCAACAATTTTTAAAAAGAAACTTAATAATGCAAAGTTTTTTTGTTTTAGTTTTTTAATTGCAGTTCTCTAAATGAACAGACGAGCCATGTATGACCATTTTTTATTTGTACAAAAAAACTTCTTGTTATGGGGTTGGAGGGCATTGATTAGGGAAATTGAGAAACTCAAAGTTTGCTATAGGGGAAGCCTATGGGGGGGGGGGGACTGCGGGTTGGTAGTGTGAAATAAAGTGCAATTCAACCATGAAGAAGCCTAGCTGCAGGCCTGCAGTTACTACAATACTACAACATATTGGGGTTGAAACTACCTGTTGGCCAGGTGTTCTTTCACCATGAACTCCTCATTTCCTCACTGATGGCCCCTTCAATCAGCATCGTCTTACGGCACCTATGGCGGTGCTAGAGGTAATAAAATCACAATATTTAGTACTTCAGGATAGAGGTCGACACCCACCAGTTCCGAAGCCGACGGTTCCTTGTCCCATAAATGTAGAAACAGTAACGCAAACCCATTCCAACTCGACCCTCCGGATAGTTACAGGTTCTGAACATTTTTTAAAAAACTAACACGGCGACACCGCCAATAGATATTAATGGGTAGTTCGATCGATTATTGTGGTGGCAATTTAAAAATGGAAGTAAAAGCAGAACTGCTGGTTCCGCCCTCATGACCCAAAACCTTAACTGTAATAGTATATCATGTCCATCCTAGTTCAAAACAGATGACAATTAAGACTTAGAATCATTCCAGATCTAAAATGATCGTGTCAGACTTAAAAGAGGTGAACATTAATTAAACAATAACAAATAATACAATACACATAACATGAAACCAGGCTAAACTTGATTACACCAAATCAAACTAATTCAGACCAAACCAAAGAGATATGTTTCTGTCCAAATGAATTTCTAGTCCACATGAAACTGGTCCTCAGTATGTACCATTAACAGTATAACTACTCATTATCTCAGGTGCTAGAAATATAGAATCATATTTTCAGTACTCTATTAAAACCATACTATCTGCTTCTAGCGCTATTCAGATCATTTCAGTGCTCAAACAGAGAGATTACAGTAAATTAGGAATACATAAATAAAAAGAACAAACAATTCAATTATTCTCCATAACATCAATGGATAACACCATCATCTGTTTTTCATCCAACCATACTCCAATTTTCTACATAATCACATTACACATCCTCAATCCACGAACCTGATCAAGGAGAGAAAAACACAAGAATTTAATAACTCGTGAAGTCATGAATTTTTCAGCTATACCATAAAATTTGTTACGGTTACAAGTTCAACAATCAATGATCTCTGCATCTACTGAGGTACCGCAATCTTCACATGATCCTGATTGTGGTGATGATCATTACAACAGCCTTTGTTTTCTTCTTCATCATCGCTGTAGTCTTCGTCAAAGGGCTTCTCCTTGTGAAAAATGCAGCACTTCTTAGAACTTTTCCTGTTTAGGAACTCGTTATCCACTGTGCCTTCCTTCCACGACACCTTCTTCTTCCTCCGCTTCAATTTGAGAACTAGGGTTTCGCTGGGAGGCCGGTGGAGAGAGGACGCGGGTGAAGAATCTCCAGGCTGCGAAGATGCATCGTCTACGGTGATAGTTAAGGTTCTCGTGCCGGTGGCGGACGGTTGGAATTGCCTCGTCAGCGTCGCCATTTTCAATCTCCCCAACTCTCCCTTAGCCGTTGTCCGCGAACACAAAGATTTCGTGAAATTGTCGATTGGCCGATACAGAATTGATTTCCAAATGGAATATGCGTATGATGAATTGATGATCAAGTAAGACTTCCCGGAAGATGGAGGAGAAAGGAAAAATACCGGGAGCTATGTACAAAATAACAAAAACGAAGAGTGGTCCGAATTCAATGCCAGAGCCTTTTTTTTGGACAGACGTTCAATGCAGAGCCTAATGGAAGCTTCTTTACCCTTTGTGCAGAGAGGAGTTGGGCCAGTAGTACTCTAATAGTCTAATGTGGACTATTAGTTTTGGGCCACATTATTGGCTCAAAAAGAGGTTGGTGGTGCATGTAACATTGCAATTTTTTCAAGTTGTTAAAAATTTATAGGGTCAAATAGGTCTTCTACTATTATGAAATCGTCACATAAGGCCATGTACTCAATATAGTGTCATATAAATACGTCTATTTATATAAAACAATCGGATGAGTTCTAAAGATCCGTTGACAATCTCTTAATCCTGATTTTAGCTTACGTGTCAATTTTTTTGACTTGTATTTCAACCAATCTTAGGTAAATGCCGTATAATCTATTATAAAAAGATGGTTTCAAGAACACTAAAATCGGGATTAAGAGGTTGTAAATAGGTTGTTAGGACTATTTGATTGTTTTTTACAAGTAGACGTATTTATATGACATTTATTTGAATACAAAGCCTTATGTGACGATTTCATAATAGTAGAAGGCCTTATTTGACCCTTATCTCTTTATACTATTATACTCTTTTCGTTCTCTAATACATATCTCTGTTTTCATTTTGTGATGTTCTCCAATACATGTCTCTTTTTCCATTTTTAGAAATTTTTTTCAATAAATATACTTATATATTCTCATTCTCTTTCCTACTTTTTCATTCTCTTTCATACTTTTTCTTTTACACACATATCAATGCCTCATTACACCTTTTATCTTGCTCCTATTGTTTTTTCTTAAATCTTGTGCCAAAGGCTATAGAGCCATCTATTAGAGAACGGAGATAGTAAAATGGAAGCTTCTTTACCCTTTCTGCAGAACCTAATGGAAGCTTCTTTACCACTTTCATACTTTTAAATTTGCAATATTGTAATATAGTACTATGAAAGATCTGTAATATAGTACTATGAAAGATCATAAAAAATAAAAAAAATGATACATATTTTCTTTTAAAAATTTGGACGTTTAATGAAAATTTTACGGAGTATAAGAATTGAAAAAAAAGAAATTGACAAGGTAATAGGGATGGGTGAAAAAATACTCTTCATAAACATGAGTGTGTAGGTGTGTGTATGAAAAATGTGTATTTTTTGTAAAAATTTACTATTAATCTATAAACCCATAATAATCCTCGAAAAGAAGATCAAGAATACATAAAGATGGATCATAGAACCATATAATCAGATCCTTTAATAGCTTGCTTAGTTAAAGTATCGGCAATTTTATTCGCTGATCATCACATATTACGTATAATATTTCTCCACTTACCTCTACCTCTGCTGCGGACTCAATAATAACCTTAGACCAGGGGCCATGTTCCTAGCCTGCTACAAATAGCCCATCCTCATCTCAGGCCACCATGTTGAGCCCCCGTTCAAAACTGTTTGTCCCAAGAGAACCATCAGTATTAATTTTAATAAAACCTCTTTTTGGACATCGTTCCACTTCGTAGTCTCCTGGTACTTTTGTAGCACATCTTTTTATTATGAACTTCCCTTCCAACCTTTTAGCCAGGGGCGGAGCTAGAAAAATGAGTGAGGTGGGTTAGAATTTAATTATATACAGTTTCAAAATGATGGATAGTTATTATACAATACTTGAGTCAAATGTTTCATATATAGCTCAGATAAAGGATAGTTTAATGAGCATTTTTCGGTTAATGTATTGATATATGTAATGTATCATAATGTTCACACAACTAATGACTGAATAAAGTGTTTTATTTTTAAATTTAAGAATATAATCAACGTCAGACATCAAATTTTATTTATTTCAAGTTAAGATGATGCTGATTTTTTCAGAGCTACGAGACCCAATGAGTTAATCAACGTCAGACATAATGTTCACACAACTAATGAGTTACGAGACCCATAATATATCAAATCGAAGGTATTTCAGAGCTCTATATTCTTGAACTTTCAGCGGGGTCGGCTGACCACCCTGACCCCTTCTTAGCTCCGCCCCTGCTTTTAGCATTGCCCGTCCCGTGCACTCCACACCTTTCCAGTCAGTACGCTTTCACCGGGCCATATCATTCCTGGCTCTCCAAATACCCCAACAAAGCATTATAAACTCACTTGCCTCCGCTACATACTTCTTGATTTTTTTAGTGTTCTTGTACGTGACCCGTTCAATACACATATTTTCTTCAATTAGTTTAAGCTTACGTAAAATTGCTTAACGTTGACTGAACATGTGATTCACAATTTGCTAATTAACTAACGTGGGCGTGTTTGTCATTTAGCAGTTAGCATTAACGAGTTGTTAATAATAGATTTAGTCAATGAGTTTGATTAACATAATATATAAGTTGTCAGTTTGAAAAAAAATGTTTGAAAATTTAGTTGTCTGGTCGTAGCAATTAGTAGGAAATGACCTATTTCAAAATGTTAGCCCAAAGGCCAAAACATTGTTATTCACAATGTTTCCATTTTAGGAGTTCCGTTCAAAATCATTAGGCCCAAACAACTCTTTATCAAACGGTTTCAAGTTCACTTATTGAAAACTATAAAAAAGGGTCCAAGTGTTACGGGGTACTTTTTTACCGAAACACAATTTTTCAAAGACCCCTATAATGTGTGTATGATTGGATATACATATATAGGTTGCCTGGAAAGGCCCATGCAATACAGCAGCATTTATGGCTCACCGGTGCAAATGAGGTCGAAAGCAAAGACTTTTCCAGGGCAATTCTCGCCAAGGTACCACGCTCATGTACTTTTTTATGCACATACAGTAGTGTGGAATATACATTTTTTTTAGAGAGAGTGTGGAATATTTTTTTGTCTCCATTACTACATGTGTGAATGGTGAACATTAACGGCCTGTTTGGATTGGGTGTTAACAGGTGTTAGTAATGGAAGTGTTGAGGGGTGTTGATCTAAACACTTGTTTGGGAGATTTTTTTTTTTAAACTTGGAGTGTTAGTAATGGTTTGGAAGTGTTAAGAGAAACCTCCCTAACACCTCAATAAGTGATTTTTTTAACACCCCAAATTGGAGTGTTTTGGAGTGTTGGACAAAGCTTGCCCCTTTCCAGTTGCCGTTCTTCCTTCCTCCACCACCGCCTTCCGTTCTTCACCCACTGAAAAACGGCCCTTTCCGTTTTCCTGAAATTTAAGAAACTAACCTAAAAATTAACCTAAAAAATCGTCGTTTCTTACCCACTGAAAAACCGCCCATTTACAGCACACTCAATTGTGTTGTTGAAAACTTCGTTAAAATCAGTTGGGATTGGTGAGGTTCATGTTGTAGCTCAAGAGGCTTAAGCTTCCCTAGAGATGAATTTGATCAGCGAGTGTTCTTTTTCATTCAATTTATGTGACATCTTCTTCTTTCACTCCTAAATAGCAGCCATTCAATTGGAGAGGAGTTGGATAGAACATTACGAGAGAGAGAGAGGGGAGGGCTTGATATGGACTTCTAAATTGAAATGCCTTTAGATTTAGATAAGGACATTATTGTCAATTTAATTGATAATCTTCCATTATTAACACCTCATTTTTATACTTTCCCAAACAAGGTAAGTATAGCTTTAACACTTCCCTTCCCTTCCGAACCTCTGGTAACACTTACTAACACTTCCATTACTAACACCCGTCAACACTCCATCCAAACAGGCCCTAAGATAATTCTTTTCCACTTAATCCACGTATACCATACATGTAAGAATGTTGGAAAAAATATACGTCTATTCCTTTTTACTGAAAATCGTCTATTTAGAACTGGAATAGATGGTCACATTTAACTGCCATTTTCAGGCAGGATTTTGAGTGGAGTCCACTTTCATCTTGGATCGAATCAAAGTGGATTAGGGTTCCCCTTGATTAGGGTTCAATTTGATATATGGTACACTTAAAATGGATAATGGGTGAATGAGAAATTAATGCTCGAATATCACTTGGAAAATATCGAAGGTAGAACTAAACGTAGAACTATCATCAGTTAATAGACATTTTAATTTCTCCTTCAAACTGCCAGTATTTTAAACGTTGGTTAATGTTTTGAAACTGTAATACGTGATTAATGCATGGTTTAATTGTGTGGTTAATGGCATGTAACGTTTCAACCCATTAAGACATGTTTAATGGCGGTTTCAGCACAATAAGTGTGATATTATTGCATAATTGTTTGGCAAATCCTTTTGGAAAAGTAATCTGAACATATTGAAATACCGTCACAAACTCAAATACAGCACATCATTGTTGCATTGTTCTTTCCAATGCAAAACTCTGTCAACTTTCGATAAAACTTCCTCAGTTTGATCTACCCTTGTTCTAGTTTGCCAGAGCAACCTATTGAGTGCTCAATATGGTTGTTTGTCAGTCATGAATCTTGAGAAACTGAGCAATCTATTCTTACTCATCTCAATTTGTGATATGATATACTCTGTATGATTTTGTTACACTCAAAAGAATTTGATATACTCTAATGATGAAAGTATTTAACCCTACTACGAGAACATCTTATAATCAAAACATCTAGAATGTTTTTACTTGGACTAAAATTGGTTGGTCTAGTCTAGTATGACATGTTTAAGTCTGCTCTGGTCTGAACTGATATGGTCTGGTAAATGTCTGATCTCTGTGCGTTTTATAACTATGTAAATCTGATATGGCCCAGGCTGATCTATTTAAGTCAGGTTTGGTATGTTTGTTTAAGTCTGGTCTAGTTTGGTATGAGATTGGAAATAGTCCAAGTAAAAACATCTTTAATCTCAACTCATTTTTTAAATTAAACCAAAATTAAGGTGAAGTGACATTTTGAGAATAATTTAAAATAAATTTGAAGAAGACTTTAATGCAATAATTCTAAAAAAATGTGTTGTCATATATATATAATATATTTATTTTTTTACTGTATACATATATTTTTGTCACTCATTTTGATTAATTATACTTGTTATTTATCCGTGTGTATGTACATACAAACGTGAACGGTACTGCGCCATATCAAATGCTCATCTTTATTAGAGTGCTCGGATACAGGTATGTATGAAGTTTTTTTAATATATCCTTCTAAATCTATTAAGGAGATAAACTTGCTACTTATACGGAGTTATATATTGCAATTAGCCAATAAGCCAATTATTACACCCTAAATAGTTGTCATCATCATTATACTTCGCCAATTAAAGAATACTCCGTATCATGTTTCTACTGAATAATGAATTCTTTTTACTCAATTATTAACTTGTATGTTACAAATATATAAACGATGTCACGTTTTTTGCAGACTGTTGTTTGCATTCCTCTATTGGACGGCGTAGTTGAACTTGGAACCACAGAAAGGGTAATTCTTCGTACTACTTTCATCACTTTGTACTTAGTTGCACATGTTAGATAAACTGGCACCCTATTATCATGAAACAAAATTTCTATTTGTACACATTTTCTTATACACACCAATCAACTTAATGTGATAACTTATTAAACTTAATGTGATGATAAACTCATTTCCCCAAGATCCCTTTCATTCAACTTCATGTGATATCTCATTGTGTCCTGAATGAAGAAAAAAGGATTGATTAGAACTCTATCTGGTTCCATAAATATATATTTATAAATGTATATATTGATCAAACTCAAGTGGGCATTATTCGAGTGTTTAGAGACTTAGTTGAAATAGAGAGAGTACTCTTATTTGTTGTAACAATCTAAGACAATGCAACTTTTCTTAATCATTTTAATTTAGGTTAAAGAAAACTACGCATTCATCCAACATATCAAGAACCATTTTATGGAGCCCAATCATCATCCAAAGCCAGCGTTATCTGGGCACTCCTCATCGGAGCCGTCTCAATTCTTCTCTACCGCCATGCCACCTTACCACCACCAACAAGCTCACGCACAAGAAGAAGATAAGGAAGATGAAGACAATGATGATGACGAAGAAGACAATGATGATGAATTGGGAGAAGATGGTGAAGAAGATGAAGCAGCATATTCAGAGTCAAATGGAGATGTTGATGGGCCTACAAACCAACCCGATCAATACATGATGGACGCAGAAGTAGACAACATTAAAAACAATAACAGTAACAATAACAGCACCAACACCGTAACTACTAATGGTGTAGTTGTAAATCAAACCACTCCAGTGGCAGCAACTGTTATTATGGGTGAAACAAACATGGCTAATGAGCAGATGATACAACTTGACATGTCTGAAAGTATTAGGCTCGGAACACCCGATGATACATCCACTGATTTGGATTCACATGTTTACCCTCGCGTGAAACGCTCTTGTTGCTTACCTCTTCAAGGTACATGCACTTTTAGCTTATACTCATGTATTAAGATGTTTTCACTTGGATGTGATTCTATTACTATGTGCATATATTCATCGGTTTAACTTTCAACAAACCTACATTGTGTTTGTTTCTGTTAGTCTATGATTCTTGAAAGTGGACATAAAATTTTTGTTCTTAAGAAGATTATATGAGCTAAAAGACTACTCCGGTCTCTCGTTCATAAAGTGTCGTTAGCCTTCAATATCACTTATTTCCTCTTATAGCTTGCAATATAGAAAACCCATCTTGAAAGCAAAAAGTTAGAATTATTTTATATTATTACTCCTACTTCTATTTTATGTGTCTATCGAATGAATACTTACGAATTAGTAAATTTGAATAAATTTTGATGATTTTCTATAGAATAACTCCTCCAATGCTCCGATGTATTTGCACAGGAGCCCCTCACATAGATGACTTCCCGCAAGAGGACACGATCTACTCCGAAACAATATCAACCATTCTTGGGCACAAATGGTCTGAGCAGCCAACTACCACAACTCATGACTACATCGTCCTTTCTGCTAGTTCTGCCTTCTCAAAGTGGTACACTCATTCTGGTCACCAAAACACAAAAGCTAGCTCATCCCAGTTGATCCTCAAATACACCCTTCTCACAGTCCCTTTTCTCCATGCAAAGAACTCCATGGCAACTACCCCGTCATCCAAGGTCTGGAAACCCACAACAGACCAAGAAGAGCCGAATGGCAACCACGTTCTCGCAGAACGACGTCGCAGGGAGAAGCTCAACGAGCGCTTCATCATCCTTCGGTCTCTTGTTCCTTTCGTCACAAAAATGGACAAAGCATCGATCCTCGGAGACACCATCGAGTACGTCAAGCAGTTACGGGAGAGAGTGAAAGAGTTGGAGTCATCAACCCTCAGGATCCACACCCAAAAAACTAGGGCCAGCAAGACTGTTATGTGTTCTAGGTTGGGAGGGAATGACAATGATGATGAGGAGGAGGCAGTGGGGATGGTGGTTCAAGTAGAGGTTTCGATCATAGAGAGTGATGCGTTGGTGGAGCTAAGGTGCACCTACCGGGAGGGTTTACTATTGGATGTGATGCAGATGCTTGGGGAGTTTGGCCTTGAAATCACAACAGTCCAATCTTCTCTTAATAATAAAATCTTTTTTGCTGAATTGAGGGCTAAGGTACAATGTACAAATAAACAGATGCGTGGTGATTAACATTCAATTTAGGTTCTATTTGGTTACATGGAAACATTTTCCTTGAAACTCAAAAAACAAATTTTGTATTAAAAAGACTTCACTCTATTTGACATCAAATATTTTCCTAAAATTCTTTAGACATTTGTGAAACATGCAATGTTGAAGTACATAGATCCTATTTTTCCAGGAAAATATTTGCTACAAAAAACATATGATAACAAAATATTTTGCTTGACTCAATTGGAATATTGATAATTATTAATTCTGTTCAGGTAAAAGAGAATTCAAAAGGCAGGAAAGCAAGTATTCTTGAAGTGAAGAAAGCAATACATCGTATCATTCCTAGGTATTAAGTAATTGGCCATTAGGCTATGGCCAATGTTATCGACATAAGCATAGTATCACTGTAAAATATAAGGTATAAATTATTTGGCTAAAATATAAGCATAGTATCACGCCATTTGGCTAATACCGTATAATGCCTTGCACACCGCCTAGCCTAAGAATTGATTTTAGTCATCATAACGGCTGAATTGTTTTTTTTTTTGGATAAACTGTAAATATATAATACCAAATTGTTTATGTACACCATATGTACAATACATCCAACATATATCGTCATGGCAATCTCAAGTAAAGATGCCTTATCACCTCCCCAAAAACAACAAAAAGACACCTCGGCTATCTAGCTACTTTTTAATGCTAGCCATCACAAAAAAAATGGTGATGAGTAAGCAAAAATGAGAATGTTATCCTATCAAGCAGATACATTGAAAATAAAACTTTATACACCATATACTTTATATGAACAAGTTGAACAACCATATCAACCACCGTAGGCTGAATTGTTTGTTGTATATAGGGAAGGGTTCAACTTCTCAGAACTACTTGAAACTACTTTTAATCTCAGTTGTTTCATTTTTTCCAATTATTATTAGTCAATTATCCTAAATTGAAAAGGGGTTTTCTTACAATTATTCTCAAATAATTACAAAAGTGCAACCAGTCAAAATTAGCCATTGACTATTAGAAAATAAAGATTTAAAGTTTTATTTAATAAATGTTGTAATTATTGGAAGGATTTTCACAAAACCTCTCTCACACTACAACAACATGCACAATTACACATATTCAGTCAATCAGTCCCTTTTAGAACTGGCCGGGTCTCACAGGACAATTCGAACCGTTTGACCCAATCTGGCCACCAGCACGGCAGTACCATACACAAGATGTCTAATTCCATTTCCTCCAAAACAATAAGTGATAGTGTGACACGTCATTCCAGATTCTAGTTTTCAAGTCCGGGAAAACTATTCAAGCTTTCGTGACCAAGTCCGGGACCGGAACTGGACTGGGACCGATCAAAGTTCAGACCAATATTACAGGATTCCAAACAAGAACTGGCCTGTAGACTTCTAATTTCAAGGATTCCAATTTTTCTGAGCATAGAGAAGTCCCTTTATCATGTCAACCGTTGACATTATCGCAACGATTCAACTTCACAAACAATTATGACTAACTTTGTTAAAATGATACTCCGTATTTAATTGTGGAAATATGTACTTCATACTAAAGAGAAAAAGTTTGAATCTTTGACGCAATCTAACAGTCATTTGTCCTAACCAGAAATTTGTATATGTAGTATGTATGCATATATGATAAAATTGCACACACATATATATAGTAGAACAATGCATTTAATTTTTAGCACATGCGGCATGCGTGCATTGTTTTGTTAGTGACAAACTGACAACCTTGAGACGAAGTGTTGTTATGAGCTGCTCAGCCTTCCACAAACAGAATCCAAGTCTGAGACACTCTTGATACTGCATGAAATTAACATACACACAGAGTCAGCAAATACCACCAATATGTGTTGGATAGTGCAGACATCATGGGGTCCACAACGGCTAGAACAAACTCTTAGGGTCTGTTTGAATGAAGGGTTTGATTAAGCTCATTGGCAAATTGTCACATGCATTAATGATTTCTAAAATCTCAATTGAATCCAACTAAGTTTTTATGAATAGGTAAAAGCTTGAATACAACTTGGTTTTTTTAAATTCCATGGACTTGTATAAAAGTGTGAACTCAATGTACAATATCCACACACACCCAAAGTCAACATGTCAGCATTGAGACCAGGAGAAACATCTTAACCTGTACAAAAAGCCTCCACTAGGCTCACCCTTCTTGCAAATCCAATCTGGAACAAGTTTCTCAAGAAGAGCTATCTGTCTTTCAATGTCACCTAAAATTAGTAACAATTTTACGGATTTTAATAGGATGTACGTACATCACAGATAATAATAACCACGAGACCTTTTGAAAATAATATCAATAAAAATAATAATAATGACAACAACACTAACAACAATAATAATAACAATAATGATGAAAAATAATCAATAGCTTATTTGACATACTGGTTTCATCTATGTCACAGTCAACCATTATGATCTTGTGAAAGAGTTCTTCTTTAGTCATTGAACAACGGCCAACCAACTCAAAAATGTTGTGAATTAAGCGCACAAGTTTGGGCAAATCAACGTATCTTTGCTGTGGCAGAGGTAAGCATTCCACATCCTTGCCAGAAAGCAAATTACTTTCCTCGGGCTGAAAGAAACAACAAATTGTCAGCATGCCAAGAAAGTAGAGGAGTGTGTAGAGCTGTAGATATAATATACTCCCTCCGTCTCACAAAGCTTGCCTCAGACCATACTCCGTAATCCATATATATCAACATTTATGTGACTAGGGAAAAGTCACACAAATTCAACGTAAACTGCTTGATTCCCTTTTCCTTAGTCAACCACCACTTTTTTTTGCCCCAACACAATGGGACAGAGGGAGTAGGTGAAGCATGGAATTATTATATATAAACGTTAACTATATCATATAAATATATAATACACAAGTACAATATAAATATGTGTAAACCATATATATACATATTAAAATAAATGCATACAAGTATAAACAGAAATACTAAATACTCCGTAATAAACTCATGAAATGTATTAATCACTGTTCCAAGTAAATAATATTTTACACATTTCATATATAACTCATGAATTGCAACGTGTGAAGAGTAAAAAGACAGTTTTTTTCATATGGGGTAGTGAAAGCTACGTAATATCTGGCTCAATCCACAAAAGCAGCCAATGTTCTCCATAAAAACTATATAAGGAAACAATTATTAACTTACTACGTATTATTTATAAAAGGTACCTCCCGGGATGGATATGCTTCTTCACTTGCTATGACATTGCCACGGGGAAATGTACGACCCTTGATTTCGCCTTTTTCAGGGAAGAAAGATTTAGCAGTTTCAGACCATTCCAAATCATCCATAAGTGATCTTTTCGCAGTAATAGCAGATGCTGATCTCTGTGGAGCGGACTGTGCGGGTGTTTCAACACATAACTTATCACTTGCACTTTCTAAGCAAAGCTTTACCGGAGTGCTGCCTTCACACACTTTGGAGCTACCAGCAGAAAGCTGTTGGACAGAGTCCTTAACTGTGGAGCTTTTGAGAGTACCTAAACTTTCACTTTCAGTTTTAAGAGTCGTCTCAGCATTATCATCAATAAATGAAGAAATAGAAGTGGTTAAAAGTTCGGATTTCTTTTCTTCCGGAACAACAGTCTTGAGAGAGAAGTGTGAACTAAAAGATGGTGCGAGATGGGATGATGACTCCAATTGTTCAATTTCTTCCAACGGGGGCGATGACATAGTAGTGACTAGCATTGAATCTGGTTGCACAGTGAGAGTGCGTCCATTAAATGGGTCCGGCAGTACAGCTTCCGGAATGTCAGTGCCCTGATTAGAGATGAAAGCAAAATAAGGGCTGCTTTAGCTATAAAAGAACTATAAGAGATGAAAGCTACAAAATGGTTGCTGAGCGCCACTCTCTTTTAAGCTATAAAAGGAATAAAGTAAAAAATCAACATCTTTCGTAAAAAGCCGGTCCTGGTAGGAAAAACTTTTTGGTGCAGAATCACATTATGGAAGACATTGACAAAGGGACAACATATAATAAAAAAAGGGCAGCCTTCCCTTGTCAAATTTTGACAAATGGCCGCTGCCAAGACTTGAACCTGGACCTCTCAGTCACACAGGCACACAGCAACACCTTTACCGGTGCGCCAAGCCCCCCCCCCCCCTCAAAGGGAAAAGGTATAATGTGAAAAATTACCTCCGAGTGTTTAGCAAATAAGTCAATGAGCTTGGCTTGGAAAACATTGCTGACATGGATAAATATTGACTGTTCATGGTGGTCTTCCAAAGCATCAAGATGCAATGTAACTTTAATATCAGGCTTCATGCAACATGTCTTCTCGTCATGCACAAGTGATTTATCAATATGAACCACTTCAGGAACTATGTACATTATTTTTGCAAGGTGCCCATAGAGAAACTTTCTGGTACAACAACAAGATTCAAGCCTTAGTCCCAAAAGATATTGGCATAGAGAAACTTTCTGGTATTAAAAGAAAAATAAATTAATAAGATGTATGACTGTATCAGCACTTGTTTTACTGTATTAGCACTATAACAAGCGACCAAAAAAAGATACTCTCTCTGTCCCATACAAAGGTTCTCACTTTCCTTTTTTGGACGTCCCATATAAAGGTTCTTATTTCTATTTTAGGAAACAATTAACAATCTTAAATGACAAATTAATAATCAAATATTAAAAATAATACATCTATAACATCACAGTTACCACCATTAACCTCATTATATTATATGCCTATCAAAATTATTTCTCAAAAATATACCCAAATTACCGTATGTAATTATTGTCTAAACTCTTAATAACCGCGTCGTTTTGCAATGGGAACCTTTGAACGGGACGGAGGTAGTATTAGGTTTGTTTAAGAAAATATTGACAGGCATCAGTGTATACCTTCTTAAATAAATAGTCAATAAAACTCAACATGTAAGCCAGCTTCTCCCACCCCACCCCACCTCCCACCCCAAAAAAAACAATAAAAAAAATTATTAAAAGCCTAATGTGGTTTACTACTCTTATATGGGTATAAGAAAAAGTGAGCGACGAAGCTACCTTCCTGTTAGGACTTCCACTTGACTGGAAATGTGTTTAAAAGTAGGTGACATTTTACGTAGACTAAGCAATCTCATCGAACACACCATGCGATCAAAAAACTCAGACAAGGACCTGAAACTGAGTAGATTCAAACAAACACTTCTGCATCTCAGCATGATTATTCATGAAACAACACACAAAATAAAGAGTAACTGATTAGCGCCATACTTCTCGGGAAGTTCAGAAATATTCTTTTTGAGCTTAACAGTACGGGACAGTGTCTCAGCCGTTTTCTCTGGTGTTGGAGATGCAAAACTTGTTCCTAAACGTTGTTGGTTCTTTGTCAATCCAGTGTCTTGTGATGGTATAGGAAAGACGATGCTGCAATGATCTTTCAAATCTGTAACACTCTCTTTTCTACTTTCATCATTTGAGTGTTCCATTCTTTAAACAATGGTATCACATGGCAAACGAGAACCACGAATCAGAAATATGATGACAAGACCATCCAAAAGACAAGAGAACAGATTGATAGCATATTAAATACACACACACACACACAAACACACATACACACTACTGAAAGAAATTGTTTTCAGCATAAATTAAAAGATAATTCCCTGTATACTAAAATTAGCTGTAGGACAATAAGTAATTTCCTGTTATGAGGGATGAAAACCCTCACATATATCAGGGTCAGGTTGGTAATCACTTAACTAGATCATTTTACCAAACTTTTTCAAAATGAAAAAAGTGCACAACAGCAAAGACGTGAGGGTTTTACTTAAAAGCAAAATGACCGAGTGAATCCTTTCTCTCTCACAAAAAGTGATGCTTATGTATAAAATCAGTTGTACATAATGCAAACTTAAGGATAAACATTATTCATAATCATAGAAAATATCATCATATACATCCCAATTGAAGTCATTGTTTACAAACTCATTGAAAAAATAACCTTGTAAAATTAATAGAAAAGAAATTAAAGGAAAGCACTTGTAAACAGATAAATGTTATTCCTTTTTATTCTTTTATTCACATGAAATCGATTGAGAAGAAAAACATAGAAATCGAAGGCTACATCCCGGACAAATTGCGACTTACGACTGTCGTAAAGTAGGAGAAACCGCACCAATAAATAGAGAAGATGATAATTTTTGGAGAATACACGGAGTTATGAGAGCAGCTACTGGAGTTTGAGACTTGAGAGTGAATATATGCTGTTTGGGACTATGCTCCAATATGAACAAGAAGGGGCTGATGGTTCAAAGTTCAAACACTGTCCATCTTAGGTAATGATTACCATCTAGAAGGTAAGTTCAGAGTATAACATAGGAATGTGTATTGTTCTGTTTCAAAAAAATGCCATGATACCTAGAATAAGTGAAATATTATCGAGACAATGTTACAATAGATAAAATAAGAAGTCCCAGATACTCAGATTAGATAATCTAGTCCAATATATTATAAACTTATATATGTTTTTATTAAATCTTTCAATGTGGTACTCTGAACAATCTCAGTCCTAAACGAAAAATCTAATTCACAATCGCAGTTCTTCATCTATAATCCCATAGGGGTAGTTAAAGTGTTAAACTGTTAAGGTTGCAGCGCTAGCAGAATGCCGCAGCTGAAATCATTAACATATACTACTCCTATTTATTTGAGGTATTCCGTTCCTCTCTTTGTATACAAAATCTGTTTTTTGGATATGAATTCAAGAGTTCAGCCTAAAATTACGCAAATAACACAAACCAAGCACTGGAAAACGAAAAACAATTGGAGAAGGAGGACTACCTTGGCTACAGAAATAACTTAAACCTCGTCGTGAGTAACCAGCAGTACGAGATTAATGAGATTGGAATTCGAAACCCTGGACTATAATCGGCCAGAGCCCAGAGGTAATATCTTAGCAAGAAAGGTGCAGTGGTTACACCAATTTCAAATGAGTTTTTTCCATTTTTGGTCCCTTGACTATTATGTCAATGACACTTTCGATACTTGACTTCTAATTGTTCCATTTTTAGTCCTTGACTATTGTGCTAGAGACACTTTTAGCCCCCGACTTCAAGATTTCCCACATTTAGTCCCTGAGTATTATAAAATTGACACTTTTAGTCCTCCCATTATGATTTTGACACAATAAGTGGAAGACTAAAAAAGTCTCTATTATAATAGTTGAAGGACCAAAAGTGTCACTTTTATGAAAGTTGAAGGACTAAATATGGAAATTTTCAAAGACGGGTACCAAAAGTGTCTCTAGCGCAATAGTCAAGGACTAAAAATGGAAAAAATCAAAGTCGAGTACCAAAAATGTCAAGGACATAATATTCGGAGGACTAAAAGTGGAAAAAACTCAATTTCAAATTATATCGGCCAGAGATAAACGGGCGTTTTAGGGCCTGTTAGTAATTGTTTCGGTTTCCGTTTTTTTTTTTTTTTGGAAATTCTCAAAAAATCCAAATTAGGAATGTCATTTTTTAAATTCTTAAAATATGAGTAATTATTACTTCAAAAAAAAAAAATATGAGTAATTATTGCTAGGGAGATTTCTCAAAATAGTAGTAAATGGATTATGGAATTCCAAAATAGTATTGTTATGTTTTTATTCCCGAAATAGGATCAACATGGCAGTATTTATTGTCATGTTATAGGCGTGACTTCAAATAGTTGCAGTCTACGCATTTAACCTGGCAGTATTTATTATAAGGGAAATTTATTATTCCCCCCTTCTAGTTTGATCATAATTATTAGTTCAACCTTATATTTTTAAAAGTCAACTATTTACCCCATCAGCTACGATTAATGTTGTAATCTCCCCCTTCTATCAACATTTTCATCAAATGCCTATTTCTTTGACTAAAATACCCTTGTTTAGGGATTATTTGTTAAATCCTCACATCTACGTTTTTTTTTTTCAAATTAGGGGGGCCGGTCCGATCAAATCCAGTCTGGTAGTTTGCCGAACTCGTACCGGTATCGTGACTATTGAAACTGTTCGGTACGATCTTAGTCCTAAACCCGTTTAGTACGGTTCTATTTTCAAACGGAACGGTACCATATCATACTAATACCAAACAATGTCACTTTTCCAAGTGTTTAACTGGAAGTTAAAGTTTAGTCATCCTATAAAAATCCACATAATTTATCAATTTTCATACTCCGTAATACATAATTATTAAATTTCAGATAAACTATAGTAGTACAAATTTTAACCGGTCATGACATTCATTAGAACCGGTACGGTCTGGTTCGCGACAAAAATTGAGATCCCTTTCAAGTTCTGTTTTTCAGTCTGGTACCATATCTGTCTGGTTTGACACCATGCTGGTTCAGTATTTTTGCCCACCCCTACTTTAAATACATAGTCGGGCGAATTTTCCTTTGTACGAATGGGATTGCGAGTGGGAATTGAAATTGGAGCAGAAAAGAAGAAAAACAGAAAGACACAAAGCACTTTCAAGTGTGCTGCAATGATGCTTGGGAAAACATTATTTTCTTGTTCGAATACTTTTGGAGTAATCCTGTGAAACTTTCAGTTGATGTACTCTTATTTTATACCACTCCTTAGTTTAGTTTAATAAATAAGGACATTTTTCGGAATTCCGCTTACAATTAACGGTCCAAGCAGAGGCGGACCGTAGTAAAGACCCAGGGGGGCGGTCGCCCCCCCAACAACAAAATTTTTTAGTGTATATATATAATAAAAAATAATTTTCGCCCTCCCAAAAAATATTTTGTTTAAGTTACCGCCCTCCCAAGACAAACTTCCTGGGTCCGCCCCTGGGTCCAAGCAACTTAAATTTAACAAAAGGGGGATATTTTAACTTTAATAAAAATTTAAGGGGTAAATGATTCAGTTCTAAAAATATAAGGTTGATTTAATAATTATCACCTAACCTCAAGGGGGTAATCATTATTTTCCCTTATTATAATCAATGACAGTATTTTTCAATCATGACAATTTTTTTATACATGGCAGTAACAACTCCTATTTTGACCAAAAAAACATATTAGTCCTATTTTGGAATTTCAAACCTCATTTGCTCCTATTTAGGACGATTTCCCTTATTGTTAAGTTTGGAAAATATTGTTCAAATATATTATTCTGTAACATGTAACATCTTTGTAACATGTATTTCAAAGATGTATTTGTAATTTCCACTTTCTCCCTTGGTATGCAGGGACGGAGCCACCTATTTGAATTTTTTTCATATATAGGTATATATAATTTTTTAAAATAAAATTGACACCACTGACAAAATAATCTACATATAATTATATGTAATCTTTCAAAACTTAAAATTGACACCACCATTTAAAATAGGACTAAGTATATTTTATTCTCCAAAAAAGATTTATTTAGTCTTTTTTAAAGAATAACTTGAATAAAACTTCTCGAAATAGGAGTTATTGAGCCCTATTCTCAGAATAAAATATTGGTAGTACTATTTATGAATTTTATCTATATTTCAGTATCAATATATATATTTTAAAAGTTGGACACTAACTTTAAAAAATTGAAAAGTCATGCCAAAAGAAAAGTTTGGGCAGCACAACTCTTTCTCCAACAGTCCAACTCCAAATTGCAGCAAGAAGGAACGGCGGAATTACAGAAGAACCGATTGCACAATCGAATGGAAGATGCTTTGATGAATGATGTTTTAGTTACTTCTATTGAAAAAGATATATTTAAAAGTGTTAACAAAGAAAAAATTGCACAACATTTTCAACATATGAAAATGCGCCATGAGTAGTTGTGAATTAACGTTTTAATTTTATGAATGACGTTTTTTGCTATTTTGCTTCATAGAGAGGTATGAGGAATGATTTGGTAGTCCGGATTCACGAAAACCACCGTGCGGCAGAGCCCGTTTGAAGGATTTCCGGCTCGAATTTTTTGTTAAATTTTTGTGAGCATGTTCATCATGAAGTGTAGAACATCTCCACAAAAGTTTATCAACAACTTTGACTAGGAATTCAATTAAATAAATTATTGAAAAACATACCGCTTAGGGTATTAATGGAGGACGGGGAGATAAAAGAGAGGTGGAGGTCATACTTTGATACACTATTCAACGGGAACAAATCATAAGATATCGGTGATTTGAACATACCATATTGTATGGTAAATCGTGATTATTTTGTGAGAATGATCCAAACAACGGAAGTTAAAGAGGCTCTGGGGAAGATGGGCAGAAGAAATCAGTGGGTCCTGATGGCATACCGATCGAGGCTTGGAGAAGTTTGGGAGAGAGAGAGGTGTTGAGTGGTCAACAAATTTCTTCAACATGATTTGGAGAAACAACAAGATGTCAATGAGTTGGAGGAAGAGCACTTTTATCCCCTTATTCAAGAATAAAGGTGATGTACAGGAATGAGCCAACTATCGAGGGATTAAGCTTATGAGTCACACCATGAAACTTTGGGAGAGAGTGATTGAGCAAAGACTTCGAAGAACTGTGAAGATTTCAGAGAATCAATTCAGTTTTATGCCTAGTCGCTCATGTCACGCCCCGGACCTACCGGACACGTCAACAACCCGCCGTACAGTACGAATAGTCAACCGCAGTCCAACACATCCATACTATACAAGGCGTCTTGAATACCATTCACACATAGTACATCCATAAACAAACATAATGTAAAATATTCATTTAAAGCAGCGGAAACATTTAATACAAGTGTTCATGCCACACTTTGGCAAACATGGGCATACAAGCCCCCTCAAAAATAATATCCATGAGCATTAATTTAAATGTTTTTAAAACAGAGGCGGAGGAAGCACGGACCACGTCTTCCTTCCTTGATTTTCCCGAAGCAACGGGCACTGGTAGCAAGCTCAACTCCTACCTGAAACTGTGAGGTGGCCTCCCCCGTGAAGGGGAGGTCAGTACTTGGAAGCATTTGACAAGTACAATGACAACTATACTAAGTATAATCAATGTTTCAATTTCTAAGACCCTCAAATAGAGTGATATGATAACATAATGATAGTCCTTCTTTAACCCTTATTATCTTCGTAATAAGTTAATTAATTAATTTGTCGGCACGCGGCCCCCTTTTATATTTCATTATACATGTCGTTAGCACGACACCGCCCTTAGGTGTTATCATCCTTTACGAGACTTGTCACCGCTATCCGAGGCCTCATCAGGCCCTCAGGCCGGAGTCCAACATTCCGCCCCTGGACTCTTACCCATCATCCCGTAGGAAGGTAAGGTCCATTCGGGGTCCTATCTTAAGTGTTACCGCTGTTGAGAGCCTCGTAAGGTCTCCGGTTCGGATTCCACCCCAACCCGTGATCACGATGTAAGTCCATGCTATCCGACCCCGCTCTCTAGAGTCAGGAAGGGCCATGGTCCTTACTATTTACCATTATTCAACCGGCTATCCTCAAGGACTACCTAAATACACCCGTAGGCCAATCCTACATCTAGGATCAATTTATTATTCACTTTATCTTGGGTATCCCTTAAGGCTTACCCCTAGTATCACTTAAAGTTCATACTTATCCACCTTAGTATCTCTTAAGACTACTTAAGGCTCACATTTCACTAATTATAAGCAATATAGTCAGTCATCCTCACCTTATGAAGTGCTACAATAGTTGCCTTTGTTAAGCCCTTCGATCATTCCCCGTTCTAAGACGATTGGAGATGGAAATCCTGGACAGCAGACGAAAGCCGGCCGGCTTTTGCAAACGTTGGGCGGCTTTCGTGGTCTGCAGCTACGAACAGCTTCCTTTAAGTGGCGGTTTCCGGCGATTTCAACCCCTATCGATTCCACGACTCTTCTAAGTTAAATACCACCACTTTATAACAATATTCTACACTTTTAAACGTGTATAACTCCATGTTTAACCCACCATATGATTTCTTAAAAATCATACAACACAAAACTAGTTAATGAACAATA